TATCTAAAGTTTGTTCTCAGTATTAAGGTACCCCTCTCATACATCTACAAATATGACTTGGCTTCTAAGTTCTTCCCTCACAAGAACAGAGACTAAAGATAACTGGAAATTGGTGGAAGCTAAGAGTAAATAACAATCTGACATTGAAATAAAGGTTGATATTGTGAAACTACAAGAGGTCACTCAGGGCCATGGTGCTATAAAAAGTCAATATCATAATCCAAATTGTGCAGCAAAACATTAATTATGGCCAAAGATGTACCTCTCACTCATGTTAACACACCTTTAGTAACTATAGCACCTGTACATGAGTGACTTACCATTCTGATTGTTATAAAACAAGCCCAATATATAAATGAATATGTTCTTGACATTGAACAAAAAATCTGTTTCACTCTTAGTACTCCATTAAACCTGTTCAACAACTATAATTAGCTAGTAAAGAATGCAACAACGTGATATTTCGTGTTTCATACCATTATTGCAGAGTTACTTACAATTGGACCCTACATGGAAGGTAGTGGAATTGATAACTGTTTGGTTGAAGGAAATAGTTAATGCTCTGTGATCATAAAGTAGAAGTAGAAGATGTGAAGAGAAGCACACTTGACTCTGTTACATTTTATTTTCATACAGATGTATTCTTTAATGAAAATTCAGATTTGAAAAACACGTTTTTTGATATCTCAGCTTTTCCAAATGGTACATGTAAAGATGGAGTGCAGAACAATGTTCAGAAATGAATATCACGATAGAATCCTTGAAGGTAAATGAAAAACTTTGGGGACAAGAGAACTGCAAGCCCCATATTCAAAGTATATTCTCAATGCATGCAAATAGTGTTGGAAATCTCAGTTTACAGCAGAATGGTTAGGATCATTGATTGAAAACTCCATCTAGTGACAACATGTGCATGTTAAGTAAAAATTTGGTCAAACTAATCCCATTATAACTTGCAGCCATGAAAGCCTTAGAATAATCAGACCTAGATATCTGTGAGGAATTCATGAAAGGCAAATGGATTATTACTAAGAACACTATTCCATTCTGTGTTATTGATGCTGATCATGCTCAATTACTTGAAGTTTTGTTTCCAAGTCTTAAGTACATGTTGAAAGATTTTCCAACAGGTTTTTGTCACTTTCCCAGCAAATATTCCAGTCAAATTTGGCAAGGTGAAGGTGTAAAACGTGGGAGCACTTCTGTTTTATTTATACCTAAGGCCTCAAATATTGTTTGCATTTTTGTTATTCAATATTTTGGATCTGTACCCCTAATTACAGATGTGTCTTTGCATATATGTATGTCATGTTAAAGACAAGACAAAAGCACCTGTATAAGGAGAGTATATTTTTATATGAAGATATCATTGGAAGTGGTTTCTTGGCCATTTAAAAGTAACTTGGTGTTTATCTTTTCTTGTTCACTAGCAACATGGGACATATCTCTGTGAGCCACTGCAACCTGATTTCTTCATGCAACTGTTAAACAAATCTGTATTTTTTCTAACATAGTTTACTTTTCAGCAAGATACAGTGTTATTTCATTTTTGGTCTAAACACAGGCTAGATTTTTCATAGTACATATACTTATTGAGGTTGTGCCTGTTATGTGATCTGCTGAAGCTAAACAGAAAGAGATGAGTACATTATATTAAAATGATTTTGAATATGCAAGTTAACTAGTCAAGAGACAATCATAACTAATATAAAATTGTGGAGTAACAGAATGTATCAAAACTATATTTTGTCATTGTTTGGCATTTTGCAGATAATGTGATACCACAGAAAATTCATCACTTTGGGAAGTGTATACAATAGTCTTTTCCAATGCAAAATATTCATACACTCAGATCATAAAGATGTGTTCAGTTTAGGAATGTAGAATTTTCAAGATGGGGATATCCCTTGTACTTAATCACATTATAAAATAAAAGAATATGGATCAACTTAGAGCATCAAGAATATTAAAAAAAAGACCTGCAATAAGTCATACCTCTGCCATGGTAAGAAAAGTGGCATTTTGTAATAGGTGAGAATCCACAAACACATAGGTCATATTGCACAATGCAGTACACATGGATTTTGGAATGATTGCACTATTGAAATGAATGCTGGGAAACCATCATCTTTCTGCACTAGATAGATTATAAAAAGCCTGAAAAGATAATTGGGGTGCTTTGGTCATCTTAGTCTTATGACAAGCCTTTTTGGAATAGAAGGATTATTGTAAAGATGCACAGTTTTCAGATAGAGTACAGCTGGATGTGGTGACATGGATTTCCATTATGTGGTGAGGCTCTAAAATAATTTGTTTTAATATAAAGTACTAATTCTCTGTATTCCTTTCTAGGCTCATTTGACGTTTTAAGAGAAATGTTCAAATCATAAATGTCAGATACAACATGTTCTTTGTCAAAGTATTTGTATTTCTACAAGTGTTGATTTATAAAATAGTTTGCAAGGTTTGCACAACTTTGAATCCAATCTGGTTTTTTCTAGTGACTGCAGATCAGACATTCCATTGCTGATAACAAACTTTTTGTGTGTGGCTGCTTGAATGTCATTGTCCAGAGACAAGGTTTTCTTTAGGGTTATGGTACCTGATGATGACAAAACCTTGTCGAAACGTTGTACATTTGCTGTTATATTAAAGTTTTTCTTCATTACCCATTCAAGCCGTCTCCAGCCATTATTAGTCTCAAAGTGGGTTCCTCGTCATCAAAATCGAATATGGTTTAATTTGTTTTTATAACTATTCTTTAAGGTGTTTTATGGTATCAGTCACTATAATATTTCTATCAAGATACAATTTGAAGTTGTGTGAAGTAAGGAGCCATCACTAGTAAAAAGTGCTTTTAGCATCACTAAAACCTAATAGGTGCAAGAGAATCTTGCAGATTTATTTCAGGCCTTCGTTTAGAAAATACAAGTTACCTTACAAAAGTAGATCTATTTTATTTTAATTCAATGATTTTGGTAGCAGTAGTTTTTCTTTTTTATTTCCTGTTGCTGGCCATATTTGCAATTTAAGCTTCTTCATAGGACTCACAAGAAAACTGTTCTCTGTAATTCTCTGAGATACATATCTTGAAAAGTGCCTCTTTCTAATGGCATTTCTTTGGCAAGTGTCATGCTTAACTATTTAGGCATGATTACTCTTGTCACAACGTTGATCATGTGATTTTTATGATGTGTAAATGGGTTCTTGAGGGCCTGAATAGTACTCTTTTTACTCTTTGCTCTTGTTGCTTCAACGAGATCACGATGATAATATTTGTTTTTTGAAATACATACAGTGGCCATTTCTCAGTTTCATGTGAGAAATATGCAAGTTCTGGTGAGGTCAGGAAGAATTTTTTGCACGCAATTGGATTCAAGGTTACACCCACAAAGCCACGTCATGCACTTTGCTAATGTGTTAGTCAATAAATAAACTTTAGTCCACTTGGTAAAGCAATAAATAATGACCAACTCATAAAATTACCTTTCTCAGTTTTAGACAGAGTACTAACTGCATCTAATGTGATTTTCTAGAAAAAAGAGACAACAACTTTCTAATGCAGTTTTCCCGATAAAGCTGGTTTCCCTTGGGCAACGCGTGTGGTACAATGTCTACAACATAGCACCATGTCCTTATTTAGAAAAACTACATATTCACAAGTGGGTGACTCTCCCTCGTGCCTACCAGTCATTCCATTATCCAAAGTCTGAAGTATTTCTTGTCTTAAGAGTTCTGGGAACCACAAGCAGCATCTCAGGTTGGCTATCATGTCTCAATGGTTCATAACAATGGTGCAATATGTCATGCTACACTCGTAACTACCTATATAGAAGTGCCAGTTTGTAATGGTCATGCTGTACCTTATTGCATGGTGGTAAGAAATGCCAAAGGAATGTCTGGGTCTTTAAGGTCCCCTTTCCAAAGTTTCTTACTGGTCATTCATGGTTTGTCATCAGTAGTGCTGTAATGGTTTTAACTGCTACACAGTGTCCAGGATCTGATTAGTTAATTAATGGCTATGATCACACTGTATGGCAAGATAATCAAGAAGTATTTCCATGCTGTTGATGTTGGCGATACGCAACAAAAGTTGTACTCTTGCAGCATCCTACATATAACAACATAGACTTAAATGCTTTAAAGAATATCATGATGTTTTCAAAACTTTCTTTTCTTAGAAAGTGTTTAAACGATGGAGAAGTGCAGAATATAAATACTCAAAATATTTTAAACTTATATAAGTAGCAAAGTATTGATACGATTAATTATGCATTATTTCATGATTAATGGGTAAAATTTTTGTTTTTTGCTGTCAAGCACAAAGTTACACAATTGGTTATCTGCATCAAAACCCAGTTTTGAATGAAATTCCACAGACATACTGCTGAGTCACAGGGGACAAGGTAAAATGTGCTCAAAACATACTTAAATGTTTTATATTTCCAACTAGTTAGATAGTAATTGATTAAGATTCCCACTGTTTCTAAAACTTTATATCTGTTTTTTTCTTGTTTGAAAATCTTTATATGATAGAGATAATTCTCAAAAAATTATTTATTTCTCAATAAATATGTACATAGATATGGTAATATATATATATGTATATATTAGAATTTAAGATCATAGTATTTGTGCTAGCTCACAAAGTTCTATAACAAAACAGTTCTTAACTTAATCAATGGAGTTCAAGCTTAGAAATTTATACTAGACTATTAGCAATTATTGAAATTTAATAATTCTCTAGGTTGGAAACAATTTTTATGTATGTATTTTACACTAAATCAAATTTTTATGAAAAATTAAAAGCAAAAAAAGCATAAATACCTCGAGTATATATATATATATTAACCTCTTTTATTCTAATACATCATATAAAAAACAAAATAAAGAAGTTCACTGCAAGTTAATAATCCAGTACCAACTAAAAACCAAACATATTTACTTACACATCTACAAAATAAAACTACTTATGATACTTCAACTGCATATTTCTTTGCTTTCACATGAGTATTAGTAAATCGTAAACAAACTACTTATCAGCAGTGCCCATAAAAGAGAAAATGTAAAATGATGCATTGATATTCTTACAAACACACAAATTGCTTCAACCATGAAATTATTCAGTCTCTATCTATCCCTAACAATATCAGCTTTATACTTACTTTAATATCATTCTTATTGTTTGGTATTCAAAACTTCAGGAATCCTTTGAAAATATCCTAAAATAATTTATGATCTCTACAACTGTCAGACAGATTATGTACAACAAGATGGCCAAGGTTTTAGATAGAATCATAAAATTTGTCTATTTACAAATTTATTTAGCATTAGAACACAGTTTTGTATCTATTTCTGTTGTTAAGGGATTAAATCTACAGTTTCAAGGTAATTTCAGTAGCTCCAAAGTTTCTATCATTACAGTCCACTGTTTCATAACAAAGTCAAAGACAGTTTTGGACAAAGGACTTAGATAACTGTATGATTCTTAAATGAAGATAGAAACTCAGCTTCCATAAATTAAAAATAGAAAACAGCAAAATATTGGAAAAACTTATTAGACAGACAGTATACATACTGGTTACTTTATTTGGAATCCCCTCGATATTTGGTTATGCTTCCTTTGGCTCTGAAAACAAAACAATTTAAATGGCATAGATTCCAACAATACAACACTTAACAGACTTATTGTTAACATAAGGAGATGTTAGCACAGAATCTGATGTTCCAGCTCATCCCATAAATGTTCAATAGGATTTAGCTCCAACAATCAAACCAGCATGGAAATATGTCTGAAGTCAATATCATGTGTCAGGAGCCAACCCTGAACTATTCCACAAGGAGGAATATTTCATTATCACCCTAAAAAAAGCCACCGTACAGTGGGAAGAACCTGATTAACTACAAAGCTCAGGTAAGCTCTGTAGTTTACCCAACCTACCAGAAGGATTAGGTATCCCTACAGTATTAATCATACATCCCCACACCATTATATTTCTACCTATAGCCTGAACTGTAGGCACCATACAAGTTGGATCCAAAGCCTTATGATATTTCTGCCATAGTCTTCCTACCCATGCAAAACAGGATAAATCAGGACTCTATTATTAACAGTCCATTCTCATCTCTCTTAGCTACCACTGCAACCTCAATTTCCTATTGAATACTGATATCAGTCATACGGAGGTCATTGGTTGATGTATAACATAAAATACAACAACCTACACATAGTTTGGGTTAATATTATGTAGTTTTTCCCAATGTCGAATAAATATGATACTTTTTCCACCACAAATTTATAGAACTCCACAGAATCCTCTATATTCTACTTTGACCCTTTTGTCCACATTTCCATTTAAGAGTTTTGTTTGTTTTGGCCAATTGGATCTGATACACTGTAGACACACTCATCTTTGAATTTCTAATCAGTAATACTGTCTTAGGGATGGATATATCTGACAGATGATCCCCTTTCACTAGAACTTGGACAAATTCTTGCCTCAATAACTAAAATATTGCTGCAGACATGGTTCCATAGATCTCTTGTAACCAAGTGCAACACAGTGTGCTCAATTCAATTTGCAGAGCCTGCTGTTTGAAAGGGCTTATTGATATGATAGGAGCTTCTCAATAAAGTGGCCAGTGAGAGAACATTGCAGACTTTCCATTTCAAATTATGAAAAAAAAACTAGATAACAGAATTCTTCCCTGAAGTAAAAATAATGAATATTCTAAATGGACTTACTTAGTAATTGAACTTGCAATTATTATGACCACCAGCATATTTTTGTAATTAAAATTAAAACTTTGAAGTATTGATCAAGTGTGTAACATTCATTGCTAAATATCTAAGACACTAGTGTTAGTTCCTTTCAATAAAATTCTGCCTAGCATGGGCTGGTGGTCAGGGCACTTAACTTGCAATCTGCAGGATCAAACCCTTATGAACATGATCACCCTTTCAGCCATTGGAGCATTATAATGTGAAAGTCATTCCCACTATTTATTGGTAAAAAGTAGTCCAAACGTTGGTGGTGTTCACTAACTACCTTTTCTCTAGTGTATACTTCAAAATTAGGAACAGCTAGCACATTTAGCCCTGAACTATCTTGGTACAAAACTCCACAACCAAACTAACCAAAAGTCAATCAGGTATGTGAAAAATGTCAAACATTTATGACATACATAGGGAACATGTATGTACTGGATCTCTAAAATAAGCATACTTTTTATCATTTCTTAAAACTGGAATGCTTGGGTATTATAAAGAAAATGTTATTTTAGAATTATTTTTAAAATTGCTATTTCTTTGAAATATGATATAATTGCTTCTTTTTCTTTAGAGCTTAAAACATACACATGCATACATATATATCATACTACTTATACTTGATACCTTCGTACCATGCTTTAATACAAATAATGTAACATAATATTTGTAGGTTGATACATATGAGCCATTTTTCCACAAACATTTCATAAGCTTTGTATATTTGCAAAACTAGAAGTTTGAAATGTCTTATGTTTATTGTAGTAAAAGTAAAAAGCTTTTATGCTTAAGTTTCCTAAAAAAGTTTTCATTTTTGTTTAAATTACTGTGGTTTGATATTTTCTAAAGTTAATGAGATAAGTTTCATATTTACAGTCCCAAGAACTGTTAGTTTCAATAGTTCTTTTTACAGAATTATTACTAGTCTCTTTTTCTCTCTAGGAACCTGTTAAAAGTATTACCATTCTCCGTAAAAACACATAGTTCTCCTTTGATGAAGGAAGATCTATGATTCAAAAAATTAAATGTTTGGATCAAAAGTCTTTTTTTTTAACTTTAATTAGTTCACTGATATTGAACTTACAAACCAACACATTTTGCATTTGCATATATTAGCATATCTGACTAAGGTTTGCAAATACTAATTATTTATGTGCTTAAAACTCAACGATTAGAAGATTTTTATAAATGAAACTATTAAAATGTTTCCTTTGTTAAACCATGTTATTCTTATGAGTTTTAAGCCCCAATAGAAAAGTCTTCAGTAGGTAGCAGTATTAAATATGGTGAAATTCACAACTGTTACAATTTAAATTGAATTTCCTTTAAACCTGCTTAAAACCTTTGCTGCATATTCTTTTTTACAATAACATGACTAATTCAAAATCTGTAAGAAATTGTAAATGTTTTATTTTTCAGGACTTTATTTGGTCTTGGTCAATTATACCATAAAATGTTAAATGATGATATGAAGTATACTTTTTTTTAAATTAAAACTTCTACATTAAACTTGCTGTGAAAGTTATATTTCCTTCAGTTGAGCGGTAGTTTTTATTTAATGTTAAACCTAGTTGTCACAAAACCTAGTTTCATCTTTCAGTTTTTAGCTACCTTCAACTTTAAAAAAAAGTAAAAATTAAAACATATGATGGACAGTTTACCCCATTTAGTTTCTACAAGAATTATTCAGGAAGTGCCACATTTCTTATTCTTTTGTAATCTTTTATACTGAATGTGACTGTTGCAAAGAAAAACTATTTTTCATATTTAGTACATATTCATGCAACTTGTAAATGAAATTCAAACACTTTCTCTCTCCTATAAAAATATTTTTAAATAAACATTGTTTGCCAGATGTGTTCAAAAATTTATTCAGTCAATTAAATGTTCATTTATAATTATTGTTTATTATTTTATTTGTTGACATTTTCAGTACTTAGTGGGAACTCCTTCTGCTTCAATAACAGCTTGCAAACCTCTTTTCATAAGAGAAACAAACTTTTTGCAAGTGTCTAGTTCAATGCTTTTCCATATCCTTCAGGTATCTCCATAATTCATCCTTAGAAGATTTAACAGATCTTCTCTTTGTTACGTAATCTAGTTCATCCTACAAATGTTCAATAGGATTGAGACCTGGTGGCAGTGGAGACCATTCTTTTATCCGGTTCACTTTTTTTTTCCACCAAATAAATATATTAAATTTAGACTCATCAGACCAAATAATTTTGGCTAAAACTTCTGGCATTTGGAGATATTTCTTAATAAAGCTAATCTTTTCTTCTTGTTGACTATATTAATGAAGGGCTTCTTTCTAGCAATCTTCCCATCAAATCCCTTCTCTTTTAATCTATTTTGTACTCTTTGTACTGACATCCTAATACCATAGTGTTCAACTAGTTCCTGCACAATATCTAAAGCACTCACATGTCTGTTTCTTCTGACCTTGACAAAAATGACTCATTCTTGTCACTTTATTATGATTTTTCCCCCCTCTGCCATTCAAATTGATCACATTATTGGTTGAATTGTACTTCTGTAGCATAGAGTGCACTTTCTATTGTGGCAATTTCAGAATTTTCCTTATTTCTCTTTGGCTGGTAACCTTCAGTGAATAAGGTTACTACTTGCACACATACAACATAAAGTATTTTACTCTTTTCAATTTTGAAGTAAAATTACTAACTATTCTGAAAACCATGACTGTTATACTAATCTATGTGCTTTTCTATGTACTATATACAAGTACCTTTTTCTTTGCAACATTCAAATTCAAAATATAATATTATAAAAAAAGAAATAAGGCACTACCTGAAAAATTGTGTAGACAATGTATTATTTTATGTAACTGATTAGTGAAATATTATTTCATTCCTTTATTTACTGAAATATGTTGTCCATAAGTGGAATGATTATGATGTAATGACAAAAAAATCTTTTACCACGACATAAAAAAAACACTGTCAGTTTACAATACTGAAATTAAATTCCCAAGAAAATATAGTGCAAGAAAAACAAGTTTATGTTTCACACCAACAACTTCTCAATTTCTTGTTGCAAAACTTGTATTTGAGGCTTCAACTGCGATCCTTCATTGATAGTAACTGAACAGGCTATGACTGGTCGAGATACACCACTAGCTCGTCCAAGAGCTGAAGAAAAGCATAAACACTGTTACAAATTTAAATTTGATCTACTTGTCAAAAATCAAAGTACCTCTGCTAAAAGTATTAATTTTGCAACAGAAAAATATAAGCCATATTTAGAATTTATGATACAGGAAAATAAAGTTAACTGTCCACCAAAATCTATGCAGAAGCAGACCCAAACTAGTTTTTTCTCAAAAACTATATTTAATAAATAAAACATAAATTTTCATGAAGATGTATATAAATGAATTTATAAAAGGAATATATAAATGTCTATTAAAACATAAGGTAAATGAAACAAATAATTATGTTTGTTTGAATTAGATTTTTGTATGACAACATAGGTGTGTAAAATAGCACATACATAGAAAGCAAATTTTTAAAGTTTACTATAACACACCATATAACAACTGTAGTTAATTTATGAAAATAGCAAGAAATTTTACTTTCCACAACCTGGTTCAGTACTACCATATAATAGATTTAAAAATTGCAAACATCACTCACCATGCTTAGACTTTACAAATATATATGGAACATTCTGAAAAATAGAAAAGAAACACTGTTAAAAATGCACATAGTAAAAAGGATATCTAGAAATATAGGATACTACAACTTTGCAGATATTATCTAGCTTGACTCAACATAAATTAGTTTATTATAATACAACCAGATCATTCACACATGCTCACTGAAGAGATACACAAGCTACATTAATGTCTGTGTGAAATGTACAGTCATCATGCAAACATTTAGTTTAAATTTTTTCTAACAGTCTCTCTTGATAAAAATATAGGAATTGTCATGATGAAAATATCTACTTAAAACATTGCAAATCTACGATCCAACATTCAAAAAACAAAACAACAACAATCTCATTTTCATCTTAAATAAAAACAATTTATGACATGCAAATCAGCAAGTCACAGCCAATACATAGTCACATTGGAATGGAATATATCATAACTACATTTTGACAATGTTTGTCATTTTGTAGGTTATGTGATGCTATTTACAACTGATCACTTACTTTTAGGAAGGGTAAGTATTAGCCCTTTCTGTTTCAAAATATTCATACTCTCAGGTCATAAAGATGTGAAAGCTTTACAATGGAGTATTTAGCAATAGAAACTATGATGGAGGGTTATTATAAAGATGTACAGTTGTTAGATAGAACATAACCGAATGTGGCAACATGGACTGTAATAAAATGGTGTGAGTCCCAAATTATTTCAATTTATTGTACTGATCTTCTGTATTACAAATAACAAAACAATAAGTTATACCTTATCTTCACACAACAGTGGCAAGTGTAGTAAAATTTCAAGTGGCACAGCATCAGCAGCCATAACAATGATCTCCGCCAAACCTCGATTTAATGTCTTGGTGGCTATAAATATATGTACATCAGAAGTATCTATAACTTCTCTACAAACCTTGTACAAGAGTAAGTTAATAACAAGTTTCTAAGGAGGAAAAGTACACTATAAAATGCATCTCACTATTACTCTCATTGAACCATAGTTTACTGTTATATAGATATGTAAATATATTAAGGCTTCTTTTCTCATTGTTGATGAGTTTATTAAACACATTACTTAAAGAAAAACAAATACTGAATGCTTACAGCATTCATTTGCACAAAATTATAAATTTATAATTTAAAACCTGGGAAAGCTCACTTCCAACTGTAACAATTTATTTTCCATAAAATATTATTCCTCAGCTATAAAATATTTTTTTTTAAATTACTGTTAATATGAATCTAATTATTATTTTAGAAGCTTGGACACAAATTTTGCAAACTTCGTTACATTCGTTATTGCAGCATGATAGCTATTGATATATAAGATATATATATATATCCTAAAAATTATAATATTGAAAATTTTCTTCATTACAAGTGCATGTTTTTTGGGGGAATAATTTTGAAGTGTTTCCTCACTATCTACTATTAAATTACCTCAAAGAGAAAGATGTTTGTTTTTTGAAAAAGAACACCTTTTACATTTAAAATTTCACTGAATGATTTTTTTTCTAGAAACTAAATAAAGCCTAATGTGACAATTAACCAACGAGTTTTGACAGACAGCAAATCTTAGCAGCCTGTGAAAAGAATGATAGTTTTCATATACATATATATTTTATAGCAGTGTTTTAGTAAAAATCTTTATGGAAGTTTTAATTGATAAAGATAAATGCAGCAATGTTTATATATACAGCAAAAAAGCCTTGATATAAATCATCAAGAGTAACACAGTCTTTGGAAAACCTTACAAAAATATTGCACTATCAAATCAAGTCACATAAAAAAAAATTCCTTTTGCATACCTTTTTATTTTAAAGTTAATTTAAGGCTTGACATTTTATCAATATCCAGTGATAAAAAACGTGATGTAAAATAAGATGGTTTATTACTTAAAATTGCCATAATGATTTATTTTCTCACTTAAATGTAACCAACATTGTCATTGTACTCCTCAGTGCTAAAACAATATGCAAGTTTTAATTATACTAAATGCAGGAGTAAAGAAAAAACACATTAACAAGTGGACTATTTTGAAACCTACTGTGATTAGTTACCAATATAAAGTTTTTGCAATATCACACACCCTTTTCTTATTATTGTTTAACAACTGTACCTGTATTATCATATTCATATGCAATTCTAATGTACTACATAAAAAATCTTTACTAATTTTTGCCATCAGCTGATAAAAAAAATACTTGGGCACTTAGGTGCTTCAGAATTTAAATTTAACTACTAAACTTGTCACTTAAATATTTGAATGTCAAAAAAAAAATTTATACATATACCTCAGCAATGAAAAATAAAATTACAACGCCAATCATACATTACATTTTTTTTTTAAATTACATATCTGAAAACATCTTTAACCCAAAGGATGATCTTTTACTTACATTATTCACTGAGCATGTCTTTATTTATAACATTAATTTTCAGTTTTTACCTTCATTAGCTCCTTTCTTGAGCTGTTTATAATTAGATGCTTGTTGAACTATGTTTAAAATTTTTGTTGTAAGGGTTGCATCAGCAAGAGGATAAGCTTTGGGGTTCACTTCTTCAGCCTTCAAGGAAAAACATATTAGATACAGAAATGGTAAATATTAATGTAAAAGTAGAAAAATGTATTGGTCAAATGGATACAAACACAAAATATACAGATATCTTTGATGTTCAGAGAGCAAGGAACAGAAGTTTTAACCCATCAAAACTAAAACTAAAGATAACCATTCAAATCTATCTGATCAAATATTTCTTTAAAAAGAATGAAAAACACAAATAAGTACCAAAGTTATATATAAATAGTTTACTCCAATCAATGTTCTGGGCAAAAACCCTTCTTGATGATATATTATTCTGCATCCTTACTTAACTTTGAGTAATAAAATCCATATACATCCTATCCTAGAAAATTTTAAGAAATTTAACAACACACACACACCACATCATTAGATAAAGCATTCTAAATATTTGCATCTGTAACAGAGGAATATTTTGTCTAACAGCAAGTCTGGATCAAACATATTACCCTAATAATATTCAATGTATATTTCTAACCTTTTCAGTCCACCACTCAAACAATTTGCTACAGGCCATAAGCAGATGATCCAAGCCTTTAACAATTTTAAACATTTGAATCAAGCCACTTCAAGTTTTTCTCAATTCCAGAGAAACCATCTTCCAGTCATTATCCTTTTCTTTGTAAATACAATTTCATAAACCAGGTAATATTTATTATTGCACCTCTAACTTGAGCATGTTGATATTCTGTGTGTCTACATAGAGAACAAAATTGCAAACATACTCATGCTATCTAAAATGACGCCTCACAAAAGTCTTACATAAGGTTACAATTATCTTTTTAATTTTAAATTCAAACTTTCTTTAAGTTAATCTCAGATCTAATTGCTCTTCCTACCACTTTTCTTTCTGTTTTTCTTTAGTAAGTACACTTCCTTGCTTTCTCTTTCTTGGATTTTTTACACATACACTTGTTTTTTATATACATCCTTACAGCTGAACAATTGGACTAAATTCTTATCTTTAATTTACCTTTTATTATATCATGGTGTAAAAAATTTAAATTTTCCATTCAATAATCTTTATGACTGCAAAATTGTATTGCAGTCTCTTTCAGTGACAGCATATTACATGTATATATGTATGTTTATTTATTACAATCTTAATTTAAAAATATTTGTTTTGCCATTTCTATGATACTGAAATATTACACGTTATAAATTATTACATTTTCTCTGCTAAACTCATTAAAATTTTCACAGTATTTTACATAAGTATCTCATATATGGTTAATATATCTATACTTATACACAAGTAATTTGTGCCATATGTAATCACAGAGTCAATGAAGTTTTCATAAAGCAAATTTTAAGTATTTTCTTGGACTATGGACTATTCTAGACCACACATTTTGATAAAGTGTCCACAGATATTCCATAGTATATGTTCATCAGCTTACCAGCCAATGTCTAGAGCAAGAGTACCAAGTCCATGAGAATGCAGTTAGTAAACTTCACAGGTTCATTGGAGAGTGGTTGCATGAACACTGGTTTAAGCTCCATGATTTGGAGAAGACATTGCTATGGATTGATGCTTTATCCCAATGTAGATACAGCTTCTTGGGATCCTAGCCATACTGAAGGAAATTTATCTTGCATAATTAAAACCAATACATTCTCCTGTTACTAACCAGTTCACTTATATTTCAGACTTGGCTCCAGCTCTTCTCCCTTGGGGGGAAGGGGGCAGTGGAGCTTTTGTGTGGGTCATCATAGATATGAATTTACAAGTTACAGGAAAGTTAATATGGCAAACACATTTGTTTCACCCAAGTAGATTATTCTTAGTTTCTTAAAAAAAAAACGTGATTTTTTAAAAACTGACATGATTTTTAAACCACATTACATAGAATGAACTTGGGTGGGCCAGAATGAAATTTTGGGTACATGGCCCACCCCAGCACTGCCATTTTACTTACACTTTGAGTAGTTTAAGTTTCCCATAAATTATAAAAAAAAAATTATAAAAACAACTTTCTTTACATTCACAGTCATTCAAGTATACTAGGCTTTGTGCAATGTTACAATAAACTTTTCTTTGGTGGGTGGAAGGCACATTTTAAAAATTTTTTATGCAGTTTGTTTTTTCTAACCAGCATGTCTGCATACACTACAGTACATACACTCATAACATAAGATAATATTTTGGGATAACATGGGACCTATTGGTCCATCTCGGCTGTTCAATCCTCAAAACTAAATTAAAATGATTAAAAAAATAATAATAAAAAATTTTCAACCAAGCCCTTTTCATTCATATACTTATCAAGCTTTTTCTTAAACTCACTTAAATTTACTGCCTCTACAACATCTGAAGGCAACCCATTCCAAAGGCCAACCACCCTTTTAGAAAAATAAAACTGTCTTAGCTGAAGGTGACTCCTACCTTGCAAAAATTTATGTGTCCCCTAGTCTTACTATTCTCATTGTTAAATATAAAAAAAAGATGATACATAAACACTATCATTTCCCTTTACAATCTTAAACACCTCAATCAGACCCCCCACCAACTCTTCTTTTTTCAAGAGAAAACAATTTGAGAGATTTCAGCCTCTCGTCATTTGACAACCCCTCCATCCCAGGCACCATTCTAGTAACCTTTCTCTGAATCCTTTCCCACAATTCAATGTCTTTCCT